TACAGAAGAGCTATATGTGTATATATTTGATCTCTTTTTGTTCTTATTTTTTATCTTTATTATATTGTATAGTTGGATGTGTGTATATATTATATAAAACTGTAACTGGATCGTGTAACAAAAGTAATTTCCCTCTGGGATTATTAAAGTATTTCTGATTCTGATTCTGAAAGAATTTTTCAAAATAGTCGAAAAATTGAGCTTTCAATTCATATAGTGGCATCTGGCTGTTTTTTTTTTAAGGTTACTTTATACTTTTATGCTTTAAGTAGTTTTTGGAGCACATACTTTTTCCCTTTTTCTTGAGTAAAGAGGTCAAGTTGATACTTCAACTTTTACCAGAGTGTTTTCAAACTGCAGTATCTATACTTCTACCAAAGTAACAAATGTGTTTACTTTTGACACTGCAATTCCATTTTATAATAATTGCAAATACAAATAATTTATGGCTTTCTCCATTTTAAAAGTGAACAGTAATTTTGTTTAAATTGGATAAATATAAATCTGCATCATCTGTCAAGTGTAGTATAATAATTTGCCATTAGTTTTGTGTCAGTTGGTCACATGACCTAAAGCTATTGGAAAAAACCCCCCACTACTTTTAAGTAGAAGAATTACTACAAAATATAAAAAAGGAGTTTGCCTCGTCTTTCTAGTCTAAAATAATGATCTGGCATTCAATTTGTGCCACCGGATCACAAGATAAAGTCAATAATTTTGTTTATCAAGAGTGTTTGTTTCAGATATTTATGGCTCATTTCTGCCGGCCTCGTCCACCTTCTTATCTGATGAAGACGTTGAAGAAAGAGATCCGACCACAACGTCTCAAAACTATTATCACTGGGATTATTCTGCTCGCTATATCTGTGTGACCTTCTAGTCTGGGTACGCCTTTCGGTTGAAGCAAGATCAGATATTAAATGTGGATGGAAATGCGGCTCTGGGGTGACATACTTTGCATTTTTAAAACAAAATCCCAGCATTTATCATTAATTTGGAGGAGTGAATAAGGAAGCGCATGAATGTGGCCGGGTAAACTTATACGGTAAAGTTCTTGCCGTAGTACCTCTGGTGAGTATAGATAATCTGTCCGCAAATGTCCACGTTAATTTTCCTTGGAACGCAGGAAATCTTCCTCTCTGTCTCTTTGGTCAGAAGCTTGAGGCACAGACAACACCTTCATTATGGAGAGAAAACAAACAAAAAAAGCATCTTCAGTTAGTTTCCAAAAAAAGAAGAAAAGATCAAATCGGAAAAGTAGAGTTCATAATGACCTGTAGAGTGTCGAGGCGTTTCCTGGTGAATCTTTGTTATGGTGCTTTGGATCGAGAAGCTGCTCAATTTTCTTCTGAAACAGTTTACTTTAAGGTGGAAAGGTGAGGAAAGCAGGTTCAGTAAATTAACAAAAAACCTCAGTCTTAATTTAGCTTTTCTTAAATTAGCCAGATATCGTTCTAAAGCAGACCAGAGGTTAACAAACTTTTCAGCTCGAGAGCCACAAGACAGAACCAGAATGGACTCGTAACCCACACTACCGGTTGGAATACAAACGTTTAAAAAAAGAAATCTATGAGGCATGATGGTACTAAAACAGCTCCGTATTGTATTTTGCCCATTACCAAGTAATGCTTTTATATATTCAAACACATAAATGTCTTCATCATTATCATTTACAATTAGTTCAATTTCTTTACAGGACATAATGAAGATCATGACAGCAACTTTTAGAATCACCGCTTTAGACCAACAAGCTTCAAACCTCTAACCTTTTGAATTTATCTTTTTTGTCCCTGATGTCGTCGGCCTCATTGTGGTTGAAGAGCTCAGCGATCCGTGTGGCCAAGTTGCTGTTGATGCAGTTCATGTTGCATGGAGTCGCAACAATGGCGCTCATGTGTTTGTGGCAATACTGGATGCACTCTTCTACCTGAACATGGACAAAGATGTTCACGTGCCTGCAGGACTTCCTGCTGGTTGATAAATATCACTAAATCCACCAAAGAATAACTTCCTAAACAAAGTTTCACCACAGCTTCTATTCTGGCTGTTTTTATAAACCAAAATACTCCAACCCCCTCACTGACCAGCACCTACAGTAAATATCTGCAAAATGCCTTCATAATAAATTAATCATAGCATAATATCACTAAAATAAAAAAAATAAAAATCTAATTTAAGCAAATAATTTTATTCTGTTTGAAAAAGTCAGAGATTCTCTGATTCTGCTGAAGCAGCAAAAAGGACATTTTTTAATTTAGAACCAGTCCAAGTTTGTTTTTCTTATCTCATTAGAGTTTGGTTTTTAACCTAAAATGCCTTTTCCCTTTCAAACAAATATAGGTATATCCTAAAACATAACATTTAAGGTATAGTAGAGGATTTTTTTGTGAATTGTTGAAAAGACCCGCCCTCTCCACTACAAATGTACAGCCCTGTACCCGCTCCCGAGAGTGAACGCCTGTTTAACGTGCAACAGCATTTACACCCATTTCTCCTCATGCACGCTCTGTTTAAAAGTTGCTGTTTGCATCGCTCATGCAACCTTACTTTCCAAAAGAAGATTCGCAATTTTTCCACTCTCAGACTCACCACCGCCAAGTGAAAATGGGGACGAGCACGTAGGACGGCATTACGTAAACATATCACCAGAATGATTGACAAGTAGGAGGACCGCTTATTTTGATGATCCACCTGGAAAAAGAACATCCTCCACTATACCTTTAAATAAAATAAAAATAGAAATAACTTAGGAAGAGAAATAAGGTCTGAAAAAAGAAAGACCCTTAACTTCCAGCTTTAGTGCTCTTGAAAGGAACTGCACTGTGAAAAAATGAAACAGCCTCCTCTGTGCTTTGGAACCTGACAGGGGGGCTTGGACCAGCAGATTAAAGGCAAGGCCACAATCACCCCTGCAGATTTAATTCTATGTCAGGGAACCAAAAATATGACAGATCAGATGTCACATCTATTTTGTTGCTGAACAACTGTCAGCTTTAATATAATCATGAATTACTAATTAAAGGTTCCAAGAAAGTGTTGATTTCCTAAAAATTACTTGTGATGACAATAATTATGCCATCCATTATTGTATAAAAGAGAATTACTACCTAAGGTGCTTTTTGTTGTTTTTATAAAAATAAAAGTGCAAATTAAAGTTTTCATTCTAGTGTGAAATTATGTTATGTATTTTTCTTACACATTATTGCTGGTGTACAAATCAATGTGGAGGGTAAAACAAACAGAATGATAAACGACTCTAGTTAAAAATAAAGTCCTGATAAAACCATATCCATGCAACAATAAGCACAGTTCTGTGTACAGGCCTCCTTTTTTCAGGAAATGACCAAAAATCAGCCAAAAGCTTAAAATCAATGAGTTAGAAATAAAGGTTTTAGGTTTGCTTTTTGTTTTATCTGAAAAATCAAAAGGCATGAACACATCACCCACTTCTCTTCACACACCACAACACTTACTAACGTATCCATCTTCAAGAACTCGGAGGAGATCAGGATTGAGATCACATTGCTGGGCTCTGAAACCGACAAACACCACATGTCCAACCAACCAAGCAAACAACACAGAACAGGCAGCCAAGGACCCACCATACACACATCACATTTAGTGAGCCGTAAACCGAGCGCCATCCACGGTTTACACAAGCAGGTGGACAGCTCAGGCTTTACCAGGTTTAATCATGTGAGCTCTAGAGGTGATTTTATTTTAACAGATTTACCCAGACGGGGTTTGTCTTTGTTCCCCTCTCCGACAGAGTTCCTTCTGACGTACTTCATGAGCCAGTCGAAGATCTGCACGTCGCAGTGAACTGAGATGTCCAACTCTTCCCACCTCTGTTGGTCCACAGACAAATACTCTGCAAAGTAACGCATCTCTTTGACCAGAAGATCTCTGGGACAGGTGAAATCCTGCTTCAGGTTCTTGGTCTCGTCACACACATGGATCACCATATTAAGACTGGGGATAAAAAAAAAAAAGTTTATTATTTAAAAAAAGAAATGCCTACGTTTTTATGTGAGGTGATGTATCTTCTTCAGGTCAAGCACTTTTTAAAAGGACTACTCACTCCCGTGGCTTTTGAGGTTTGTCATCGGCTTCAATGGAAACTTGCTTCTCTGTCGCCTCCAAACTGCTACTCCTTCCAGAGGGGACTGACTTAGACCCTTCAGACATTAGGAGAAAAAAAAAGTTAAAAGAACCTAAACCCAGAACAGAAGTACAGTCTCCTTCCACCCGTAACATCTTCACATTTTGTCATGTTCAAACCACAAATGTCAATGTATTTTATGGACACTAGAGGTCAACGAAGAGGAGTGCTTAATTTAACATCTAACCAAGATAATCATAATAACAAGGTTATATATAGCGTTTTTTAGTGGTTCATCAGTCTCCAACTCCAAAGAATCTATTTCAGCACTGAGCCAGGTTACATATGATCCTGCCCGGTACAGTGTAAAACTTACACTGATCGCAGTGTCAGAATTGCAGAGTTAATTTTACTTCACATAGTGTTATTTTTTTTACAAGTGTTAACAATTGTCAGAGTAATTCTTATTTTACTCTATAACTAATATCGACTCACATTCCCCTTCTTCTCCTTTGACAATTTGAGCTGATGTAACGAGTAAATTGCTCCACTGTAAAATCAATAAAGTCAATCACTAGAGTAAAATTTTACACTGCATTGGGCAGGACCATATGTATCCTGGCTCAGTGTTGAAATTGAATATTTAAGTGTTACATTAACATTGCTAATTTTACTGTGAAGCTATGGGTGAACCATTAGCATAGAATGACTCATGCATGCAAAGTTACAAAGTTGGGAGTTTTTTTTATTAGGGACTACAGCAAATTGAGTATACCACACAATACAGTCACTGCTTTAATAATCATACGGTTAATTAGTTTGAGCTTTTTTTCTTCTTTTTTTTTATTCATCATTAATAATGTTTAGATCTTACAGGTATTTATTGTATTTAAGATGCACCCTGAAAAAAAAAAAGATGGTAAAACTTATTTTAGGCTCACAATAAGACCTTGTGAGCCTAGCTGCAATTTGGAGTTGTGCGTCCTTCTACTCGTTAAAATATCATTCTCCAGTGTCCAGAAGAAAGCATTGTGATCTCTATTTTAAACTACATTCAACATGAATGTTTTTTGTTTTGTTTTTTGCCAGGAAAACAATACACTGGGAAAAAAAATCGAAATCTAGATAAGTAATTTTTTCTTAAAATAAGTGAATTTGTTCTTGGATTAAGGAGGTAAAGGAGAAATTTTGCTAATGGAACAAGAAAATTTACAATTAAAATAAAGAAACACAAATTGCATTGTCTTATTTCAAGTGCATATTATCTAATTATCTTATTTTAAGAGTAAAAACACTAATTCCATTGGCAAACTTCTGATTTACCTACTCAAATTAGGCGTAAATACACTAAATTTAAGATATTTTTTACCTATTTCTAGAACGTTTTTCCAGTGTAAGATGCTTGGTGAGATCTTCTTGGATGAAGCTGAGAGCTTTACTATGTGTGGACTTTTTAACATATTCAAAACAGTCTTACATGTAATGGAAAGAGCACTACATTCTTAATATGAACAAGAAGACATATTTAATACCCTGTAAAGATTCTGGTTGATTTTATTCATCATGATTACATCCTATTATTCAATTTGAATATCATCTTAAATGTCTGAGCACATTATAGTACTAACCAACCTGTAACTTTACCGCAGCTCTGATTGCTTCCTTCTCTCTTGACCAGATCTTCAGCCTCCAGCAGGGTGCACAGGCTCTCAGATGGTGAGACGCTTCCCCCCATCAGGTCATTACATTGATAATCCACATGGGGAAACCCAGCCGTGGTCTTCAGCTCCTCATATCGGCGGGCGCACTGTGAAAACCAAATCAAAGCTGGTGATTTGTTCTCATAAGCAATTATTGTACCCAGAGTTGCTAAGCCGTGCAGAAAAAGATGGGCATAATGGATTAACTGAAGAGAAAATGGCTGATGGAAGCATTCATAGATACCCAGCACTGTGGTTACCTCATTAGGAGTGAAGCCTGGCACCAGTTTGGCCACATTATCCCAGTTTATGGGCTGAGGCACTCCCCACAGAGACCCCAATACCATATCCAACACCAGGACATTGTTGTCGTAGGGGAAATTATTGTTGTCCGAACAGAAGCGGCTCATCTCTTTACGGACACACAGTCAACAACAAAAAAGATATTCAGTTAACACAAACAAAGCCACTGATCCAGTTTTGAGATTTCTGCAAGAAAAGCATTTGGTTGGATTCATAAGAACCTGCTTAATTAAAGATGCACTTTAAGCTGTCAGAGTTGAATCTGATATTTTTTATTTTCTTTTTTATGCTATTCTATAATGAATCATACAGTTTAATTCTAAAGTCAGGGTCTGTTAAACATAGACATAAATTTAGTTGAAAAGTGAGTTAAAGTTTTTTCTATATTGTGCAGTAACTAGAGCAGAAACACTTTAAGCTAACTTAGTTCCCTTTTGCTTTTGACAGTTTATTCCTCTAGTTTGGCAGACAATAAACAAATTTGAATTTTTGCTTGTCTCCTGCTGCGGAGGACCCTGTTGCTCTGGAGAGAGAAAAAAAAGGGGCCCACTCCAGTGCATGCTGGTCCTATTAACAGCTCCTTTATGGCCCCACAGTTCAACCAGGCTGACTTACAACAGCAAATGAAACAAAAAAAAAAGATTAAAATAATAATTAAACTACAAATAACTACCATAAATAGTCCTAAACTAATGCCCAATACACATGAATGGGGAAAAGTGACATCATAGTCCTAAACTTAGGACTATTTATGAGGTTACTGAACTATAATTATGACCAGTAACAATTGGATTACAGAGAATTCAAATGCATTTTTAGACATCCAGAATTTTTATTCCCGATAGGAGTAATGTCATTTTGGATATCTGAAAGTAATAGCCCAATACACATGAATGGAAAAAGTGACGTAATTTGTCCTAGATAGAATTACATTTCAGATATCTCAAATGTTGATTTCAGATAGAAGGAATATATTTAAAGATATCTGAAATACAAACAAATATATGTTAAAATAAGTAAAGATTTGTAGATATCTGAAATGTAGTTCTTACTACTACAAATTTGATTCCAGAGTACTTAAAATTTAATTTCTATGGGTAGAAATGTAATTAGGGATATCTAAAATACAATTCTGACTAGGAGTATTATAATTGTGACTAGTTAGAATGCTTTAGTGCTATCTATAATAGAAATGTGACTAGTCAGCCTGCATATTTTATGTTAAAACGGCACCCCATTTCTTTTTTGAATGTTAGTCAAAATATGTTTTTAAGTTTCTAAAACTGTATTTTGGATAGGCATTATTAAGATGTAGATATCAGCAATTCAAATTTAACTAGTCATATATCAATAGTTGATATCTGTAATTATATTTCTACTAGTAGAAATATGTTTTAGATGTCAAGAATTGAATTTCTGGAGATCTGTAATGTTACATTTATTTTTCGCTATCTGAAATAGTAATTATGACCAGCAGTAACTCTATTATGGAGAACTGAAATTAGAATCAATCCTCGTCAGAATTCATTTTAGATAGGAAGAATGTTATTTCAGATATCTGGAAGTAAAAGCCCAATACACATGAATGGGAAAAGTGATGTCATTTGTACAAGTAAGAATTACATTTTAGATATCTGAAATGCTCATTTTGACTAGGAAGAAATAAATTTGAGACATCGTGAATATATATTCAGTCAAGCTAATAAATGTCAAAAGGGTCACTTAAAATTTGTAAAGATTTCTAGGTATTTGAAAGTTTATTCTTACTATTACTATTATATTCTTGGCAGCCTGAAATGTAATTTTTGCTAGCAAAAATTTATTTTAGGATATCTATATATACATTTCTGTGTAGTAGGAATGTCTTTTTGACTAGGAAGAAACTTATTTTAGAGATCAACAAATAGAACAATAGAGAGAACAGCTTCTAATAAATGTCAAAACGGCCTGCCATATCCACCATGACCTAAGAAGATTGCTGTTGCTCCCAAACTCTATAACTACCCTTTTTTTACTATAAGGATTTGTGATACCTTGAAAGATTTAAGTACTTTTTAAAATTCAAGCTAATGGGTTTAAATCAAGCTATTTTTTCTTTAATCATAGCTTTTTGCTGTTCTTTTCCCTTAGCCAGTTTATTCTAACATACTTATTTATTTCATTATCGACCAGGTTTCTATATTTTTATGAGATTGAAATACCTTCACAACCCTTTAGATTTGAAAAGTGCTCTATAAATGAAGGTTAAAAAATAGGTTGACAGAGAACGTTTTACAATTATTTGTATTGCCCTTTTTCTTTTTCTTTATATTTCAGAAAAACAATTAAAATATATCGATCATTTCCAAAGTAGAAAGTTGTCTCAGCACATATAGGCTGCTCATGATGCAATATAAACATAAATATAAAAAATGACGGCGCAGAGGGAGGTGATGCTACCGCAGGCCGAGTCTCTTGGTAACTGTAACATCAGATGCTTTCAGGTTAAATCAAATACATAGTTATTTCTGAGATGAAACAAAAAAACGAGCGTATTGATGTAGTGAATAGCCCTTACCGTCGTAGCAGAGTCAAAACCGCGGATGAATCTTGTCCGCCATTCGTGAAAATGGTGCTGATGCTGCGGTCCAACGGCTAACTACCAGAGGAGCTAACTTTGCGGGATGGCACTATTTGCTTCCTTCAGGTAACCGTCGGAAATTTAACTTCCGAAAGTCACTCTTACGCAGTTTATGCCTTTCCAAGTTAAGGCATCCATATATATACAACTTATTTACTTAGAAGGGCACAGACAAAAACGTCCACATATTTTCCGTAAAAATTAGATAAAAAATGAAACTACCTCTCCAAAGCAAACGATTTCCGACAGTCCAGAAAGGCAGCAAAACCTGGATTAGTTAGCATGAGTGCCAATCATAAACGAAGGCGTCCGCGTCATTGTCTTGTTTACGCATTAAACTAGAACCCACGAACCATTTAGTTTAACAATAAAACAAACGCCAGCTAGAAAACCTCTGATATACGTGAAAAGCTGTAGTTAATAAAGCCATCCCAGTTGCCGCACTGCAGCACCTTGAGCGTCCTGTTGCTATGAGACGACAGTCGTAAACCAGGTGTCGTCAATTGTTTCGGAAAAAAAAAAAAAAATTCACAGCAGCATTTGGTCCAGTTCCAAATAAAACGGCATAAAAAATAAAGTTCATGTGCAAAACGTATGCAATTAAAAAAAGTATATTAATACAAAGAAGAATAAAAAATAAAAGCTGAAAGAAAGTAGAAAGCTTGGGTTTGAGAGCATGTTTAGAACGTATTCCGCTTACAGCTTTGAAAAACAAAAGAAAGTCATTATGAAATATATTAAATTTTGACTGGATTTTAAAAATGTGGCCTTATGAATTAAAAAAAAAAATCCAAAGGAGGACAAGAGGAATTATAAGAAAACCATTGTTTGGATTACCCTTTGAAAAAAAAAATCTTAAACAGTCAGCTGTTTAAGTGTCGATACAATTAATAGGTGCAGTAAAGGCACTGCACTGAAGACTTTGCATTTGAACAGGGTCAGTGCAACTACTAGTAGCATATGGCAATACCTGGACACTAGATATGTAGAATAGACGGGCACATCAATCGCTCACATGCAGTATCCATGGTCTTGGAGATGGAAAAATCAGCTCCATTGTGTTTAATATCGCCAGTGACGGTAGCAACTGCACAATAAAAAAGCTTTGAAAATATTTATTTCCAAAATATTAATATTAAATATTTACAAAATTACTCTGAGACTGATAAAGTGAAGAAATTAGGCAGATTGCACTTCTCCAACTCTGAATCATATTTGTTCCAGACAGAAGCCAACACAGAAGACCAGGCGGCCATCAACAGAGAGCCCAAGCTTCACAAGATAACATAATCACATTATCAAACTCATTCTCCTAAAAACTGATAACATACCAGATTCTTTCATGACCTTGCAAAAGAAACTTGCTCAAGCATTTATTGTGCAACCTCTGAATGAGAAAATGTAAAGATATCCTAATACTTTTATTTAAAAGTTTTCCATTAGAAAACCTGAATTCAGATTTTGATATTTTAAATTAAGAACTAATAAGGCGTTTATGATGAGATTCTTTGTGAATACAACTGCTATCGTTTGAATTTTAGTTAACTTCAAGAGTTACAGATTGCAAACAAGCACAGACTGAGCTATTCATTGTTAATTATAAATCCCTACACATGAAGACATAGCCTTCAGAGGTCAGTCTTTTCGGGCACGTTCACCACAGTGGTAGATGGCATGTCGGAGCTCGACGTGCTCAGATCAAAGGAAGCAGGAGTTTCTCTGTATGCAGACTCCAGGAGCTGCTCTGCAGAGGCTGTGGCGAGGTCAGAGCTGAAGTCTCTGGCTGCAACAGACTGTGAGGCTGTCTGGGATGTCTGCACGCTCCCTTGCTCAACCTGAGTGAGCCTCTCCATCTCTGCGTGCTTACGGCCTCTCCTTTTTCCAAGGATCTTGACGTAGTTTGCGGGGACGAGTCCAGTGGTCTCACCGTCTAGGCTGGCCAGCAGCCATCCTCGCACCCGGGGTTGTTGCTCTATGGGGAATGATATATAAGGATTTTAGTCTGACACTCGGGATGTTAAATACAATTAATATTTGAAAACTCCAGCCCAACTGTACATTTTAACCTAATATGTCAGATTCTTCTAGAAGATGCTAATGACATGTCACCTTTAGGGGCCAGATTAAGCATGTCTCCAGCCCGCAACGAAACTTCCTCCTCTGAAGAAGCCGTAAAATCGTATTCTGCTCTGGCCACAACATGGTCGTCCTCCCCACTGGCCCAGTTAGTGGCTAAATACAGAAGGAATATTTCAATTAACTACATTTATTTTTTTTAAAACACTTGACATTTTTCCCATTTATTTTTACATTCAAACTACAAACTTCTGTCTATTTTACTAGACTTTTATGTGACATACCACAAAAAGAAGTGAATGTAGAAGAAAATGTGGGAATGAAACAGATGTTTTTCAAGCTTTATTTAATTAATGAAAAATAAAAATTGTATTCAGACTCTATTTTGACAGCCTAAATTAAAAAATTGGCAAACTAATGGCTTAAAAATTGTAATGCAGACCATCTGAACGAACTTTGGATAACATGACTATTGATGGAGATAAAATAAGGGTTCCTGCAGGTGCAACCAACTCAAATATGTGATATTTAAGTCAAAAATTTAAGACATATGTCTTAAATTTCATTCAGAAATGTAAGACCTATGTCAAAACATAGTTATATTAACTTGAGTAACTTTAAAAAAGTACTTTTATGATCACTTTATTGTACTTTTAACTTAGGGAATCTAATTAATCCAGATGAGTAAAGTATAAGGCAACCAAAACAAGCCTGATGCAATAGAGACTTTCTGCCAGAAAGACACTTAAGGTGCATTCGCACTGAACGTGGTGAATTTTCTCTTTGGTTCGCCTGACATTCTGCTCGTCTCTTGCAAACACCTCAGAGAACTTCCCAACAGCTCGCTTCACCAAAAAGGAAAAGTGTCTGCCTGCTTGCTGGTGTTGCTATTCATACACACAATACATATACATAGTTACTTACTGAAAGGGTTGCTTCTAAGGTTTAAGGTGAAAAACTGGACTTAAAAAGAACAAAAGAAAACATTTTTTTCTAACTGAATTTGGTATTTTTCTTTTTTTTTAATAAAAAGTCTATTATTAAAACTTCCACCTCACAATTAGAGACTAATGTAAGCTGGTCTCTGACATAAATCCTTTTATGGATGTTTGTAGTTGTCACATGATTTACATGCAAAGCATAAACAAAGTGAAGAAGTAACTGGGAACTTTAGGACGTGTGTGTTTTGATGTCTTAGCCCATGTTCTCAGTTCAGGTAAATGCAACACAAATCTAATTTTTTTTTTTTTGCCCCTATGCAACATATATCCAACAACTTAGTCTGAACAACCCAATTTAGATCTTTTCACCTCCCAACTAATCTGAATCTCTGACTTTCATATGTGGAACTAAATCGGATATGTTACTGTATCCAACTCTCATATTATAATCCAGGCTTCAACTAGCAAAGCAGTCACTGCTGCACAAAAACAGGTTCTAAACAGCCAGACATTAGCCTTACCACTTTCTTCAGAGCCTGCAGTGGAGCTTAGCAGCTTCCAGATGAGATAGGGTCCACCAAGAACTACAGCAAAGAAAAGGAAGATTGGCCAGGACTTTACACTCTGATCCTCAGCCCCTGCTCCATAACCCCTGGATGCAGCTGTAGCCAGGGCATCCGTTGTGCTGTCAGCCCACAGGTCTTCAACATCAGTATCTGACCTTCTACCCAGCAGTCTCAGCAAGCGTCTGTAGAGGTAGCGCAGCGTTCGCACCAGAGCGAAGGCTGACAGAACCCTTGTGAAGTGAGCACGCAGCCTTGTTAGGTGGTTGGCTACATCCAGCACAGCGCGGAAGCTGTTGTACACTGCTGAAAAGGTGGCGTCCAGCATCATGCTGACCGAGGTAAAGGCCTGGACGATGCTTTCAATGGACTGGAAGGCACCGCGGCTGCTTTCCTCCGCCTGCTGTACAAAGCGGCTGGGAGGGACGTCCTCTGTGTGTGGGAAGCGGCTGTACCCTCCCATGCCATAGCTGCCGCCATAGCTGTAAGGACTGTAGCCACCATAGAGGGAGCTCCCATAGGGACTGTAGGAGGAGGTAAAAGAGCTGTAGGAAGGACGATATGACTGCTGCATGGGGCGGGGAGGCACTGGAGGAGCCATTCTGGTTAGAACAGGTGGGCCTGCTGGTGTGGAAAGGCCCCCAGCTGCTGGTCTGAAGTCTGTAGATCTGTTTAGTTGGAAGAGAAGCCAATAGAGGGTTTTATAGTGACACAAGGTAGCTCCAAAAGGAAAGGGTTCAAAGATCTGCTTAATATAAGGAACATTTGTTGTGATCATTATGAGAACAAAGTGTATCCACTTTGGGTACTAAGGTGTCAAATAGAGGAAAAAAAAAAATCAGACATTTTGTAAAATAACTGAACCTCAAAAGTAAACAAAAAACAAAACACATCTCACTATCTCTTTAACAAAATGCAAAGGTAGCATGTGAGTAAACAATACTATAAGGTTCCCTGAGATAACATGTGTTGGGAATTGGCAGTATAGAAATAATCTGAATTGAATTAAATGTCTAACAGCTTTTAAAGCAGTCTTCTGCAGCAGTAAAGACACTGCTGCTGTAAATCACTATGGGAAAGATTTAAGTCCATTCAAAACTTAAAAACTGTTTAAAAACTGTAAGTTTTAAGATGAAAACCTCAGACCTCAACATTTCTTTGAAAGCACTGGTGAGCTAATCTATTTTTATCCTGTACATGAAGACATCTGGTTAATTTTAAAGACTGGACTGCACATAATGGAATTATGAATTATTTTCTATCATTATTATGTTAAATAAATAATAATGGTGTGGAATATATTGTGTATTTCTGATATTTTTCCAGGACTATATCTAAAGCCAAGAATTTGCCGCAATGACAGCTGAAAAGAGCTGGATCTGATCTTACTTAAAATGATTTTTGACTCTTTAGAAGGCCAAAGCAACAAATTGATTCGTATTTAGATGGTAATTTATCCAGACATGCTTGAAATGTAATGTAAACAACAGGCCGCAGGCACCGAGGCCTTAGCTTAAATTGATCAACCACAGTTTAACAATTCAGAGGAACAAATATACATTTGACAAATTTAGCATAGATAAAACTTAAATATCAACTGTTCGGCAAACTCAAGTATGTTTGGTTAGCAGCTTCAGCTTCTGAAACAAATGTAGCATCCACTAGCTAACAACATTAGCAAACGTTTTGCTAGCAGCAAACCCCGCCAACATAAACTGAATAAATGCGTTTTACCTATAATTTAAAGGTGCGCCGATAGCTCCTGGAATACGTCTTTCCCATGGTTTTGGTGGAGGTTGGGAATCCATCGTAGAATATAAAACTAACAAAAATAAAAAGAGCGTAGTGTGTCCCTGGCCTTTGACCGCTTTGGTAGTGCTGCTTTCGTGTGCTCCTCGTAATTTCAGAAATTAGAAATTGAAAGTCACATAGCCACAATTGATAAATACAAAATAGCGTAACAATTGTTATGAATAACGTTTAATAGCAATTACATGACGGTATTATTCCTTTCTCACCCATATTTATCATGCCTTTTCTTCATAATTTTATTTTAAAAAAAATCCCGACGGTCATCAAACATAGCACTTGTTTATCGAAAGCCCAGAATAATCGATTGCCATTGTTGTGATGATAGATAGATAGATAGATAGATAGATAG